CCCCCCCTCTGTTTTCAACGGAAATTGTAGAACGCTGTTTCTTCAACTTCCTCGTCAACTGTGCTCTAAATGGACTCCTGTACAGTTTGTACGTGGTCGTTGTACAAAACATTGAAACAGCATCGGTATCCTACGGCAGCAACTACTCGTTAGCCTCGTCACTGCTGCTGGCGCCACTACCGTCGCTAAAGCCGTCGCTGTCTCCTCCATCGCTCCCTCGTCTCGCCAAGGCATCCAGGCCGACCGAGTTGGCCCTTGCTTCGTTCAGCCGGCGCTGAACCGCCGCTGGGGACGTGTCGCTGAACCACTCCGTCCCATGGTCCTCGGGAAGGGTATTGATCCCCTGATCGCCAGAAAATGCGACAACAAGAGAATCAGGGGGTGCATTTTTCATATGCAGTGGGTACCATAGCATGTAAGGGGGATTGGGGCAGACGGGTCAAAGTTATTGCCAACCTCTGTAGTTTGGTGTGACGCTGGACCGCTGAATTTGTAGGGACGAGAGGTTTAACGTGGACAGCTGTCACACGAAATACGCACCCCGACACGAAATCTGGGGGGAACCAGCCAGACACGGAATGGATTTGGTCCCCTCAACCTGTCACTCGCAAAGCACAATGTTGATGAAGATACAGCGCCCACGGCAAGACGCCATGAGATCACTAGTGGCACCACGCACAAACACATGCATTCCCTTTGCATGCAATGTCGCACCTTCCACGCACGGCTTTGTACATATCTCGCAAACTTGGCCAGCCAAGGCGGTGGGGCCGTGCTGCCGCCGCCACCGGCAGCTACACTCATTCCCGACCTCCAGCCGCACCAATCTTCTTGACACTCTACCCAGAGCGTCACTCGTCTTCCTCGAACCTCGGGTATCACCGCCGCCGTTCTTCCTGCTGACTCTTTTCCCCCAGCAACATTTTGTGCAACGTTGCTTGCGTCGTCTTGGTTGGCGAACAGCGTGGTGCATGGGCGTCGGCAGCGGTGGCAAAGCACGAAGAGCTTCGTGAACACACCGAGAGCTTCGCTAAGCAACACCGTCGTTGTCACACAACATGAATTTGCCTTTTTCTTGCCGCTGCTGCTGCTGCTGCCGCTCCGCGATGACCCTGGCCCCCCTGCAGTTTTCGCGGCGCTCCCGCCCCCTATGCCTCTCCTTCGGCCGCACGGTGATTTGTACGTGAACTGGATATTGTTCGGGGTCAGCTCAATCGTTGGAACCGTCGTCAGCCGGTGTTCCGTGTTGCTGTAGCGGATCCACAGCCACAGAAACTTAATCAGTGCCCTGCCGCGGTTACGCATTGAAGACAGCCGTCGGGATGTAAGATCGTGCAATTTAGCTGAGAGTTGTCCGCGTCGATGGGATCTTGGAAAGCAGGGCCGATTCGTTATCACCATCGCATGTAGTCATAGTCCCATGATCACTAGACTCTCGTAAAGGGTCACGAGTACAACAGTAAAAGGCTTCTTCCGCTACGTCAAATAATTGTGCCGTACAAGCCGAAAACGTAAAACCTTCCTATTCAAACAGAGAAGGTGGGCATTGCCGAAAAAACAAAAAACACGATCGATCATAGGAGGAAACCGTTTCCGCAGCCTACCAAATGAAAAATTACGTCCTCTTACCAACATGACTGTATTTTCACGCATCATAAAAACGAAAGGCTTCGATGAAGCTGGGTTTGAACGCCGGGATTCTGCGCCAACCGTAAGGAAAGCAGTCACCACACCGCCGCACAGTTCCCACAGCTTGGTTTGATCAACCCAAGGTGCCCCTACTCCACGACAAATGGCGACAGTCTCTAGAAGAACGAAAAAGAGCAACCGATCATGCAATGCACTCCCAAGCACCTTGGTCGTCGAAATCTAGCCTCCGCCGCTTTCGAAACGTCCGCCAGGCTGACGGTCGCGATCGCCGTCTCCCTCCGCCCGGTCCCGCTACCGCTGGCAGCGATCGTCGCTCGCAGCGGCGGTCCGAGAACTGTGGGGTCTCCTTCAAGGCAGACATGTCTGAAGAAATGGCCGTGCGCCCCGCCTCTCGACGGCGGATGCAAAGCCCGCAAGGGCTTACTCCGTCTATCGCGGGTGAGGTTGTGGTGGTATCGGTGGTTTTGACCAAAGCTGCAGGTGGGACAGTTTGAACCGCTGGTGCCGGATCCCCCGATGTCGCGATCAGCGACTGCTGGTCCGTTGTATCGAATCACCGTCACCGCGAACTCGCGCCAGAGATCGGTCTTGACCACCGCCGTCGCCGCCGCTGCCGCCTTCTCTTTCCCGTTCACTGCCTCCGCCCCTCCGTCTGAGATTGACGCTTCCGTTCTGTCTGCTGCTGGTGACGTCGTTCCTGATGTTGGTGCTGTCGCTGTCTCTTGTTCTCCTGCCGGTACCACTACTATTGCCGGTGCTGTTGATGCCCCTCCTGATGTCGGCTCTCCCGCAACAGCCAACGCTGCTGGCCCTCTTGCCGTCTTAGGCTTGCGGGAGAGAATGGCATCGGACCAACCAGAGCAGACGGAGGCGCAGTGGAGCCACGAAAGTGGTCCGAGGCATCGGAGCATGCCCGTGAGCAGCTCCGGTATCTGCAGCGCTCTCTCGATAGCATCAAACTCGTTCATGGTGAACGCAGCTGCTGTATGGTGGATGCGGGTGGGAGTCGGGGGCAGCAAGCAACCAGGCGCAATAATAGGAACGTCGGTAGGCAGGAGAGCCTTGGTTTTAGCAGGCCATCTTGTGGCATATCTAGTTGACACAAGATAACCGCCGTGTAGCAAACATGAATTTCGGTCTGCTCCGCATGAATAAGGGCCGGTCAACAAATGACTGCTGTCGTGCAATTGGGCCACAAAAGTCAATCCTGGAGTCTAGAGTTCATTCTTCGTGGTCACCGCCGTGTCGTCATTTAGTTGGAATAACAGGTGGAATCGCGACGGATGGGTAAATTGCAAGTTGTAGGATGTATTTGACGTACCATGGAGCGGCCGTACGATCGTGGCAAAGGCAATGGTAGGAATTTTATGGAAGAGGTTGGTGTAAGAGGTGCGGCCTCTGGCTGGCATCCTTCCTTGTTCCTGTGAACGGTTTGCGTTTGATTCTTGATACCTGTGCATGGAAGGCACAGACAACTTTGCTCCAACCCAGAACAACGACGACACGTCTAAGGTGGAACGACAGTACCCGAACACAACCCCGCCGCAACCGATATAACAAATTAAAGATTCCCCTTCAAGACGTTGGTTTCGACCTTCCCCCGCATGACACGGACAGCCGTGACACACAATACACGCCGAAACAGGTAGCACGTGTAGGATTGTGGACGCATGCATGCAGCTTCACCTGCAGCTGTCGTTGGAAGGGGGATACATGTTTCAACCGAGCATGTGAGCTTTTCTTTGCCCACTCTCTCGTATTTTCACTTTGTAGGAACCCACGAAATGGGAAGCGCTACAAATAGCGCCCGCACTTAGGAAGTTGGTAGTGAAGGCCTTGTCAGTTAAGAACATGGCAGTGAAGGAGTTCTGAGTCATGCTCAACATCATATTGAACATCAACATCAAGTTGAACATAAGGACTTGAGTGCCGTATTGTGTTTTGTGAGCCCGGGTAAGAATCCCTAGACTATTATCTTTGTAGTGGCTTTTTGTAGGCCGCAAAAAAAACTACGAGCCCCAGCCCCGGCCAAGACTAGAAGTCCTTCAGTCCGGGCGCTACTGTATGCATACAATAGTTCAGCAGGTTTCAACTCCGGTTCGTCAGTATCTTCGCGGAGCAGGTCCCCGCGAAAAGAGATCCGGTCCGCACGACATTAGGCGTCGAGAATAATTTCGTGGCGCGGAATTAGATGCACATACAGCGATCCTCTTCCGTGTCCCTTACAAGGAGGTGTGATAAAAAGTTGAAAGGTAAGGATTCACGCAGGGGATGTGTCGAACTGTTCCAAGTCTTGAGTCAGCGCGGAGGAAAACCGGCTCAAGGAGACTGACATTTTGTAGGAAACACATACTCTGTACATACAACGATAGAAAGAATACCGTTCGAGATACAATCAAAGTCGAGGGGGCGTGTTGATTTCTTCGCAGCACAATATTTAGCACCACATCTCATAGTGAGTGACATTTTTGGCTGCAGTCAGGCCATTTCTTGCGGTTGTCTTTTTTATTATATTTCTCTCTTTTTCCTTCTCAAAAAAAGACAACTGGCCGTAGAGGGTCTTCTTACAATGTATTTTCTTCACAAAAAAATATCGCCAGAAAAAGACAACCCGTTTTGGACAGCCCATCCCGTCTTTGTTCGGGGCAGTTTTGGACAACTTGGGGCTGTCAAGAAAGTTTGTCTTTTTTTTGTCACAACCACATCACTCGTACCTACAAACTTGAATCTCTCGACGGCTGATCCCCGCAAACTCTAACGGTGCTCACACGAGTTGTGTCACGTGGCTGGTACAGAGTCGGTAGCACCAGCGGTGGCCATTGTTTTTTCAGTGGGCTGGACCAGGTGGACAACCAGATGTGTGCGGCAAATAAGCGGCAAACAAGCCGAGAGAGCCTGGACGCACCAGCGGTGGGTCGTTTTTCGTGTATTGTCAACCTTCCTTGCGAACCCAACTTTTGGGCGTCCTTTAGCCTTCTGGTCTGTATCAGCCATCACACAAGACCATACGCACAGCTGGTGGCGCATACCTTTGTCATCGCTGTTGCTTGAGTGGGTGGCCAGGGAGTACTGGCAAACCAAAGTTGCGACGCGGGCAAAAGAGCGAAACGAGCTGCTTGAAGATGCGGCGGATCATTTTTCCCGCTTGTCCACCACGCTCGCGCTCACAATTTCTGAGCGCCCTATAGCCTCCTGGTCTGTATCAGCCACCACACAAGACGGACCTTAGACAGAGCTCGTGGCGCATACCTTTGTCATCGTTGTTGCTTGAGTGGGTGGCGAAGGAGTATCGGTAAACTAAATTGTTGACAGGGGCGAAAGAGCAAAAAAATGGTTGCTGGCGGGGTGGGCATTTTTTCACCGTGCTGTCGACTCTCGGCACCTCCAACCCCGTTGTATCGCCCTGTGGTCTCTATCAGCCGCCACCCAAGACAAACCATACACACAACTCACGAGGAATAGCTTGACAGTAGGCGCTTCTTCGCTCTGAGAGGAGATAAATTTATCACTGAAAAACCATTTCGGTGGGAAGGTGATGTACGTGTGACAGCAGCCGTTGCAGAGTCTCTTTTTTTCGGTAGGTGAAAAAGGATCGACCAGCACCGTAAGAAGGGGGTCATCTATTTTGTACTTTGTAGATCCCTTTCTGGGTTGTCCGAAAGGAGGGAAAAAATATGACCTACGAAAAAAGGACCCCAAGAAATGGCCTCACAGGGCGGTTTCGCGCAATAATTACTCCATGCTACCGAAAGGGCTGGGGGAACGCCCGTTCGCGGTCAGCGCCGCTGGCCAGACGTACAAGCAGACAGATCGGTTTGTGTACCTCGGACGTACCATCTGCGCGGATGGGAAGGTCGACCGGGAGATCACGAGCCGCATCTGCCGAGCATGGAAGTGCTACCGCCGGAACAGCACTTCGATGTACGACAGGAAACGGGCCAACCGCCAGCTCAAGATCCGACTACTCCAGGCTGAAGTGGTGCAGACCCTCCTATACGGGTGCGCCTCG